TAGGAATAAAATTGCTGAGTTACAGGGTTTGTGGAATTCAGCTTTAGTAGATACTGCCAAACAATTTTCTCATATACTCAAACAATGTGTGTGTGTTAGGTTGCTCCACGCATGCTCACCAAAACTTAATATTCTTTTTCATTTTGAACAGTTCTGTGGGTGTATATGGTATCACATTGGGTTTTCGTTTGCATTGCCTTGATGACTAGTAAAGGTGAATGCCTTGGATTTGTTGGCTACTAGATAACTCTCATGGACTGAACTGTGTCCCCCACAAATTCCTATGTTGAAGTTCTAACACCTCAGAATGTGACTATATTTGGAGACAGGGCCTTTAAGAGTTAAATGAGGTCCTATGGGTAGTCCCTAATCCAATATAACTGTTGTCCTTTTAAGAAGAAAAAGGGACAGCAGGATGCACGTGCACAGAGGCAAGGGCTGGGAGGGCACAGCAGGGAGGCAGCTTCTGCGAGCCAAGGAGAGGCCTCAGAAAAAACCCAACCCGCTGACACCTTGATCTTCAACTTCTAGCCTCCAGGACTGTGAAAAAATAAATTCCTATTGTTTACATCAGCCAGTCTACGGTATTTTGTTATGGCAGTCCCAGCAAAGTAACACAATAATTATTCTCTTTTGTAAGACTTACCATAGCAGTCCTGGAGCACTTTCAGAAGTAGTTCGGTAATTTTATGAAACTTTAATTTCTACAAATCAATATGATAATTTGAATTTATTATTTGACAGCCAAAGAAATTAAAATAGCTACTTACCAGCCAAAGAGAGCGGAAAACTATTAAGACCACTAAATTTCCAAATGTCTAAATTAGCTTAAGCACTATTCTCAGAGGACAAAAGCAATCTATAAAAGTAAGAAATAACCAGATATATATCTCTGACATACATATCTTTTAATAGACATTTTGAAAATGCTGAGAATAGTATATGCAGAAGCCTTTATGGCAATCAGTCACTTAGATCCAAATGTCACTCTGAACCATGAACCCAAGTAATTAAGAGGTCTCACATGCTGTGGGAGTAAATGACACTGGCCTGGGTCCTCCGGGATTTATTGGTGGGAGGGGTGGCATGGTGGGAGGTGAGGATCTTGACTGTATCTTCACTTCCACAGGCGATCCAGGCATTGCTGGCACCCTTTTCTCAGGACCAACTGTAGAGAATAAAAGGAATGGAGGTCAGAGTTTCCTATAAAATAATAAAAACGGTGACAATAATTTGAAATACCAACATATTGTCCTAGAGGATTGAGAAGTTAAGAAAATGCTTAGTTTACTAGGCTGAATAGTGGCCCCAGAAAGGTATGTACCTATTAATCCCTTGAACTGTTAATGTTTTCTTAATTGGAAAAGGGGTTTTTAAAAGTAGTTAAGGAGTGGCAGGATGGCTCAATTGGTTAAAGCGTGTTCTCTGACCAACAAGGTTGCTGGTTTGATTCCTGCATGGGATGGTAGGCTGTGCCCCCTGTAGCTAGAGTGAAAATGGTGACTGGACTTGGAGCTGAGCTGCGTCCTCTACTAGATTGAAAACGACTTGACTTGGAGCTGATGGGTCCTGGAAAAAACACCCTGTTCCTCAATAAAGTTTAAAAAAAAAAAGAAAAGTAGTTAAGGATCTTGAAGGGAGGAGATGATCTCATTCTGGGTTATTTGGGTGGACTCTAAATCCAATATGAATGAAACCCTCCTAAGAAGAGCTGAAGAGACATACACAATAATAGAAGACTACGTGGAAGACAGACATAGTCACACAGAGAGAACACAGTGGGATGATGGAAGTAGAGATTGGAGTGAGGCATCTACAAACCCAGGAATCCCAACTATCATGCGAAACCACCTGAAGCTAGGAGAGAGATATGGAACATTCTTCTGAGGCCCCAAGAAGAAATCAACCCTGCTGGAGCACTGGCCCCTGAACTGTGAGAGAAAACTGTTGTTTGCAGCTGCCCAGTTTGTGGAACTTTGTTATGGCAATCCTAGGAAGCTAAAACAAGGCACCAAGGTCAAGGGCTGATGTGACCTGAAAGATAACAGTGAGGACAGTGGCTGAGAAAGACACCAGGTTATAAATTCAGCTTATCTCAACTGCATTCTTGCTTAACTTCTCTCTATCAATGAATCAAATTAGCAGGGGGAAAAAGCTAATGTGGGACTATCTAGACCAGGAGGTGTCAGATGCATGGCATGGAAATAGAAGCATAATCAGGTGTATAAAAATGACTACAAATGATGAAGTACTAAATTTTGATACCTAGCAACTACTCTCACTAGGAAAAAAAGAGGTGGGTTCAACATCTTTGACATCACGCATGTAAATGTTGCTTATGACATTTGTTCTAAACGATGAAAAGTAGAGGTGATTCTAAACTAAGCACGGGCTATTTCACCCATGGGGATAATTCACAAGCAAGTGTTTGATAACACGAGACAGCAACAAATTCCAGAAAGAGAAACTTGACAGATTAAATCTAATGATGTTAGAATTAGGTCTGAGCTTGATACTGAAGAGTAATATCTTCAAAGTTATTTTTCCCCATTAAAGGAAACCTGTTATATACTTGGTTAACATTAGGGCAAGGGCTGCCATAATCGCCTTTAAATTGAGCTATTTTCCTCTCAGTAATTCCAAGCTTTTCACTTAAGTACCATGTATTTATTCTCCAATAACTGCCGATTTCAATTAAAGTACAAGAAATTGACACCAAAGGTTCAGGTGAGATTGTTAAATCAAAGATTTCTTTCTGTGACATCAGCTGTAAACACAATACATCCAAGAGCATTCGTGACACTGGCAACGAGGTACAGCTTTGCACATTCATGGGCATTGTCTAATGAGGAAAATATCCCCCAATATTATTTTTAATGCTGCAGTCTGCCACATTTTGGGAAGAGATATAATGAATACAAAAAGTCAATCAAGGAAGCAATGCTCCCCAAATTGCAAATCCCCTGACAAAAACATGCAGCTCTCTGAAACCATGTGGACAACACCCTGCCAGCCTCCCCATCTCTCTGTCCAGGACATTTTCTTTGTAAAATTGATGGTCGTCCTGTCTGATTAGTGGACTAATGAGCTGTTGCGTTTGCCTTTTTCTTCCTGACAGTATTTTCTCAGTGCCCTTCAGAGAACAGTTGACACGTTTCCAGCTCTTCCATCTGGGGCCCAGCTTTCTGGAGGATGGGGGAGAAAGGAAGGAAGGAACTGACAGTTGTCTTGCACTGTTTTGTGTTGTGTGGGGTGTGCAACAACCTAGAGGGAGTCTTTCTTCAGACCACCTGCCCTTACAGCAAGGGCGCCAAAGGCCTGAGGAGGGCTTAGCAGTGAGATGTGTTTTAACATTCAGCACTTGGCAGAATGAAAAACTCGGAGCAACCTAACTGCAGAACACTGAATTACACAGCAATTAAAAGCTGCGATACTGGGCAAAATCCAGCCCCTAGAGTCCTGTTTACAGATTAAAACTACCCATCTCTTGTTCACATCACTACTCACAAACTTGCAACACTAGTGTTATTATTCCTCATGCTTCAAGCAATAACACTGTCTAGTAGGAAAAGCATGGGTACGGAAACTGAGACATTTGGTATGAATCCTCATTTTGTTACTAATGATCTATTATACATGAATTTTATAAAACCATTTCACCTTTCTGGGCCTAGTTTTCAATATATATGAAATAAGAGATTTAAGTAAGATGTACCTGGCAGGAAGGATGTAAAGATTACAGATAATGCCTAGATGAGTACTAAGGAAAGAAGGTACTCAGTATCCAGTAATGATGATTAGAAAACATGAAGACTAGTGTCAAGTTCTGATTTTATCATTTATCCAGTAGCCATGTGACCTTGTCCAAGTTAATATTAACATTTGTTTCCCATGGAAAATGGGTATACTATTAACAATTAATCTATCTAACCTCAGAGATATTACATGTAATGATCCAAGAATTAACAGTTACACAAACACCAAGTACAATATAAGATGGTATTTTTTGTTTTGTTTTTAAGATTTTTTATTGGGGAACAGCGCTGGGGAATTGGGGAAGGG